TGAAAGTCATCTGTTCTAACTATGAGCCTAAAGGCATAAAACTGTATACATGATACAGTTTTAGATATAGTAGCACCATTTTGTTATAGAATTTTTATGCAGTGCTCGTCATTGACATGCGGAAACAGTAAAGGATATTGAAGTGGGTCATAAGATCTGTGAAGCTCAGAAACTCGTTGAATTTGACCATCTTTCACATTCAACACACTATCTTGGGGACTTTTATCCTCATCTATCAAAAGAACAGCTACTTCATATAGGTACTATTGACACATTATATCGACCTGGGTGGTCATTGGGAGATTTTATATCAGCATGAATAATAAGTTTTAAATCACTCATTAGTATATTTTCGAGATTGTATTTAAAATTTTGAATATACGTATTATGATCGTGGAGATATTTTTCCAAAGTATCGATTTGCAAGATTGGGTTTAAATTCGAGCACAAGGATACCTGATCTGCATGAGAAACAAAATATATTTGCAAAAACTCTGGTTGTGTACCTTCAGTCGGATGTAAATATTATCGATCGAATCATAAGCTTGCCCCAGCACTTTAAAAGTGAGCATAAAGTTCCCCTCTCGAATTTCTTTACCACCAAATGAAATCATTTAGTCATTTGATAATGTGTATTATAGATCAGTTGTCTTGAATGATTCAAGAAATGTTTTAAGGATGGATGTGGTTCGGGAATTTTAAGTATAATTACTTTTCCGCCACTACAACTATAGAACAGTATAGAAGCGACCCTCTGCTTGGTGGTAGATCTCTGATGGTTTAGTGTTGAAGTTGTAAATACCTGGTGGTTTAGGACTATTGTTATGAACGATTTTTTTTACAATAAACGGTTTGTTGTTTGTTTACGTTTTGATCCTATAACTTATAACGTTATAACCTAACCTTCATTGCTTGCGGCTATCTAACAATAAGTATGAAATAACAACTGTTTCGCATTACACGTTCAACAATTATTTTAATTTTAATTATTATTAGTAATTATAATTATAAATTAAAATTTAATTTATTGACATTTATGTGATATCATAATGGTATCAAGCATCAACTATCAATTATTGAAATATATGATATGAGCCGTCAGATGATTCTCATAAATAACAAAATGGCGTGCCCAAGAGATCGAGGCCATGTCCCCACTTTTTTCAACCGTTTTTTTTACCGTAACCCGGCAGCGACGGGTAATTCAGCTATAGTATTAATAAAATTATCCGTCACTTAATTTCAGATAAAAAACGTAAGTTAGCACAAAAATCTTAATTGATTATTCGTATTATACACATGTCACATGGTAAATTACTATTTTATACAGGATGTATGGAAAAAATATAAATTAAAACCATTGTAAAATTAGATAATAAACAGCAAAATTTTATATGAATTTTATACTAAACATTATTATGTGGATACTACAATAACAGACATAAAAAAATATTTCATGTCACTAGGTATACTAGGTTTAGTAGCATATTGTAATATCAATTAACTTTAAGAAAATTAATAAATTAATTTTTTTTTTCATATTCTAAAATTGGTTATTCGTAGAAAATATATAATGTATAAATCATAATTATAATTTGACCCAAAATCGTAATATTAAAATATCTTGCTTCAGTGTCTAACGAAGTAATTTAAATAAATTAATTATATAATAAAATACTTATTTTAAAATCTAAAATGTATAGAATTATTGTCGATAAGAGCAGACGCCGACTCAAATGTTTGACCCTGGTACGGAACTAAATCTGGGTTCCAAGTAATTTTGAAACATTTTTCTAATAGTTATTGAAGTAATCAGCCGCATTAACACCGGGCTCCAATATTATGGGTACTTATGACCTCCACCAACCCACTCGTCAATGYAATGGAAATGATTAGTAACTTAGTTTTAAATGTTTAAATAATACTACATAATATTTTCAAACAAACTAAATAATAATCAATAATAAACTGATGTACCTATAGAGCCAAAAAAGGATGATAAGTCATCACAAAAATTTTATATTATTTTCACATATTCCAAAAGTGGTTATTTATAAAATAAATATATATAATGTATAAATCATAATTATAATTTGTCCCAATAT